CATCGTTCCCTCCCATCCGCATCATCGTAGCCACCGCGGCGGCGAGCCCTTGGCAACGCTGCCCCCAGCCGCACCACCGTCGTTGCCTTCCCTTGGGTCACAACCGCCGCAACCGCAGCCGCTCGACCCCCCCTCCTCGTGGCGACCACAACAGAGTAACTTTGCATTTTTTGCCACAGCCACCAATCACTGCAGTTCCCGGCCAGCAACCACTACCGCCGCTGCTCTTGGCCAACGACCAACCCCTCGTTCTACAGCAGCCGCCCTCCAACAGCGAATGTAGCAACCGCAGCAAGTACGCTGCCTTGCCTCAACCCCAGCAGTGCACGCAACACCGATTCCTCTTCTCAACCTTGGCCGCTTCAACGTCGCCTCCCCCTTGCTTAGCATATTCTGCCACAACCACAGGTTGCCATCACCATAGGTTGCCATCACCGCAGCCTCAACCCCGTTGCTCGGCGATCGCCCCTTGGGTCGCAACGGCTGTAGCCACATCAACGCAGTCGCCTTCCAACCCCGATGCTCTCACCCCACGCAGCGATAGAAACAGGGCAGCTACTCTTCCTCCAACGCAGCGACCGCAGCACTGCCCTCGGCGTCCACCTCCTCGGCAACTTCGCATCGACAGTGTTGATGCCCTTGACCGACACCAAAAATAGGAGTTGAGATTACAGTACAGATTTGCTGTCTTACGCAATGGCCACTGATAACTCGGTGAAAGCACAAATGGAAGCATTGGAAATCAGAATTGAGAACCGACTGTAAGAAACACTTAATGATTTTAAAAAGAGTCTACTGGAGAGCCTCAACAAATTTCAACAAAATGGGGGCTCAAGTTCTACGTTGCATGGATCTAAAATACAGGAAAAGGGCCCAAAGATTGTGACACAAATTACTCACACATGAAGGTGGAATTTCCAAGATGGAAAGATGGAGATCCAACCAATTGGATCTCTAAGGCAGAAAATTTTTTTCGTTTTCACATAACCCCAGAAGAATTTAAGGTAGAAGTGGCTTCAATCCAACTCGAGGGAGATGCACTCCAGTGGTACGATTGGTATGAAACTTTCCACGGAGTTCCTTCGTGGGAGTAGTTCAAAAGAGGGCTTCTTGTTTGCGTTGGCCAATCCGAATATGAGAATGTTGATTGCCAGCTCGCCAAAATTCGTCAGACTTCTACAGTGTTAGAATATCAGAGTAGGTTTGAAAGATTGTCAAATCAAGCTAGAGATTGGTCGGACCGACAGCTTTTGGATACATTTATTAAAGGGTCTTATCAGTATATTTGAACAATATAGTATTTTAGTGCTTTATAGTTGGTGTTAATTGATAGGTTGGTCGTCATCATCCCAAGAAGCCGAAGATGGTCGGAGAGGAATCTGCCACTGGGATCCGGATGCTGTCCATTCTCTTAATGCGTCATCTGAGAACTTGTAGAAGATCGAGGTCAGAGGTAGCCCGACTTGATCCGCGTAAGTCAATAGTGTAGTACATTTTAAGTAGTGGCGTAACTGCCTACTGAGATTACAACTTAGGTAGAACAACCTTCGCTGATGTGGCTTAACCGTATGCCAAGCTGACGTAACCATCTGTCCTATTGAGATGACGGTCTTCATTGCTGATGTAGAGGTGTCCATGTGTCTGTCTTGGGACAGTTCATTTTGTCCTCTATCATTAGATAGAGGATTATAAGACGTCGTGCAATTATCTGAATACTAAAGCAGATGGAGCCTTTATCGATCTGCCACGCTCTGTAGGCCATTACACACGTTGTTTTTATCATTTTAAGTTTCACAAGCATATTAAATATTGGTTTATTTCTTTTTCTATTTCATTTTTGGTTTTTTGGGGAGTCTTATCAGGCCTTTAACATGTGAACCAAATTCCAGTCATTACATAACACAAATTGCTGCCTTCTCTCTTGTTCTCAATGCTGCAGGAAGTCTTCTCCTTCGCCCCCATGCCATGGGCTTCCCTTTCTACTGCCCTAATGAAACCATCGCCAAGGTCATTCATCTCCTCCTGTAATGATTCTCTTCTTTTGTGATTCTTGATTCGAATTGATGATGATTTGCTCCTCGCAGGTATTGTCGGTGTCGATCGCTCATCGTGGCGGCAGAGGTTGCTCCTGCCATTGAAGCCCATAAAGTGAGCTTCTCGGTGACCAACAAGCAGGGGAAGTCGGTTCCAATTTTGAAGAATTGTTCCCTCCATGTCCCTCCTGGCCAGCTGTGGATGCTTCTTGGTCCCAATGGTTGTGGCAAGTCCACCCTCCTTAAGGTAACTCATCTCCTGGTGAAGCAATTGATTTGGTTTCAACATAGGAATGCTGTAGTTTGAGTGAAATATTTAGAACAAGTGGAATGGTAAACTGGCATAGATTTGGATGATTGAAATTTTTGGTTGTATTAAGGAATTAGTGAGTTTCGGCTGTTTGATATTGAGGGTTTTCTTGTAACATGACATTCGATAGAGGAGGCAATGGACCCGAAATGGCCAAGGAATGAGATTTTTGTCTAGCAGGAGAAACCAAATTGGTGGCCTTTGTGTGATGGGGGTTGGTCTTCTGTGTTCACCAAATGAGGATGGACCTATGTAAGTAAAACAAAAACCAAAAGTTGGGGATGAGAGAGAGGTCTATTTTGTTTCCTAATTTTCAAATTTTGGTTTTATGAAATAGAGAAAAAGAAAAGGTTTGAGATAATGAAAATATAACTGTGCATGTAATTGCCAATGCAGCCATCAAATTTATAGGGGCAATTTGATGGAAATAGGACCCTTATGGAAGCTTATACTAACATTCTTTAAATGTATGAATTGTGAAACGACATTCAGTGAAGATGTTGATCAAAAGTAGGCTTGTAGAGCATCAGGAAAAAAGAACCATTTGTTTGGTTATAGGAATTCTGAAAACCCTTTTTGCATTTAGGGAAGTATCAGTTATGTGTTTTTTTTTTTAAAAAAAAAGGGTTATGTGTATTTAATGTTGTCGTGTATTCTGTTACTACTTCCTTCAGGCTTAAATTTTGTACAATTATGCTGACATAACCAATATATATAGGTCACAGCATGTGTACCTTTTTTCACGATGATTTATTGATTGTTTATAAATTTCTGAACTGATATTTTTGTTTGCTGCATAGGTCTTGGCAGGACTTCTAAATCCTTCTGATGGAACTGTGAATATAAAAAAACCAAGTAGCTTTGTGTTTCAGAATCCTGATCACCAGGTTTTTCCTTCTCGTGCTTTTTATTGACTTTTTATTGTTGAGAAACAGTTGTGTCTGTTAGAAAAACAGTTGTTTCTTGTGAAGTTTGCTCAATATGTGAATTCTGTAGGTGGTATGTGGTGTTCCAACCATAACTTGAAGTTGTTTATTAAACCATGATATCAATAAATCAAAATTAGTTAGATTCTAGTTTTCTTGGTATGTGCCCGTTATCATGTTAGAATGCTTGTTCTAGTTTGTATCATTTTCACATAGATGGTGAAATCCATGACACATGATCATAAGTATGTCACCAAGTTTTTAGAATCTGTACTAATTGAAGCCTGTCAGTCATGTGAGATTGATCGTGACTATCAAACTTGTTGGTTGCTGTTAATGCACCCTGGACACATCCCTTCATAGCTCCAGTAGATCTCCGAAAAGTAAATGCCCTTTTCTTGTCCTATTGGAGAGTACTAATTTTTCCTCTTTCTGCCGCCTCCTTTTTTTATTTTTGTTGTGTTTTCCTTGTCAATTACTTCAGGGCCTCAAAGAATATGACTATCCTTTAGATGTAAATTGTTTGTTACTATGTATAAAAAGAACAAATCACTTTAAGGGATTCTAAGTAGGTTCTTCATGGATGGTACTGACAACAAGACACATTTTCTTTCTTTAATATGTAGTACGAGCTATTTGAAAACCTTTTTAGTGCTCTCTTTATTATCACTTTGATTAGGTGGTTATGCCAACAGTGGAAGCAGATGTGGCATTTGGTCTTGGTAAGTTTAATCTAACATCAGATGAAGTTAGATCAAGAGTATCAGAAGCTTTAGAAGCTGTTGGCATGTTGCATTACTCACAAGTGGGTGTTTGACTTTTGACATGTATGTTTGATTTCTGGTGTTGTAAGTATCTGAATTAAATGTTATGTTGTTTACCTTTGTTGCATTTATCAGAGGCAGATTCAGACTCTTAGTGGAGGGCAGAAACAAAGAGTTGCTATTGCAGGTGCCTTAGCTGAAGCATGTAAAGTGCTATTATTAGATGAATTGACAACATTTTTGGATGAACATGACCAGGTATGAGTTATACTCAAGAGAGCTACTGATTTATAAATCCATGTATTCTTGTCAACCAGCCTCTTCATTTCCAGTTACGGTGGCCTTATTAAGTTCAATTGGCTTTTTCAACTCAAATCGAGCTGTCATGCCTGTTGAAGTGTCAACTTTGTCTCAGTTTTCAGTCGATTCTCCCTCCCATTGTTTTACATCCCATCCATCGTTTTGATTCATAGGCTCCTGTTTTTCACATAAAGCACTCTTCTAAAAGCCTAGATGTTTGTTGATTTTTTTATTTCGCCGATAGACTTTTTGTCTTATCACTTGCATCTACCCTTTCAATTGCATCTTTTTGTTTCTTGATCGTTAGAAGGATAATCTTGTTTTCAAAAAGAAAAACTTGAATCATACTACTGACAGACAACATATTCTTGCTTTTGGTTACCAGATAGGAGTTATAAAGGCAGTCAAGAACACTGTGGCGGCTTCGGGAGAAGTTGCAGCACTGTGGGTGACTCATCGCTTAGAGGAACTCAACTATGCAGATGGTGCTTTATATATGGAAGATGGCCGAATAATGATGCATGGAGATGTGTGGAGTGTTTTAAGCTTTATAAAAGCGAAGCAAGTCCAGTACAGAGATCATCTTCATCTCTAACTTCTTCACTACCATCTCCTGCATTTGTTGCCATCTCTTACTCTCTGTTTTTAAGGATGATGAGAAGTCTCAACCATCTCAATCTTATCATGTGCTACTGCGTGCAGCTCAACCTTGTTCTGTAAATACCCTAATCAGCATCTCAATATTATGGTGTGCAAGTCTTGACTTTCTTGAGGAGAAAAATATATTTTCACAAATATATATATTATTCTCACATGATGAATGATTGAACCATATGAATTTTTTATTCACTTATATATGGATTTGTGCTTTCATTATTAATTCTTTCTAAATGTGTTTTGTAGTCTTCTCCTCACAAAAGAGATTATTTGGATGCTATAATTTCTTTCAATTACATGAATTTGTGTATCATGTGTGTGAATCTAAAAGATGTCTAAGAATTAATTGAAAGAAATTGTAGCATCCAAATAATCTGAGAAAACTCATTATATATCTAAATTTGAGAAAGTGTAATTTGAGAAAGATCTGAAAGAGTTCTAAAATATTATGTAATTAAAAGTGTAATTTGAGAAAACTCATTATCAATTTATTGGATTAAAAACCCATTGTTTGAACATATCTCCTCCGATTATGTATCTAAATTTTTATATCCCCAATTTTCTAAACATTTAACTAAGTCGTTCATATTTGTTAAATCGCATGATGATTCTTCAATTTTTTTTAAAATTATTTTATCACCCATTTAAAATAATATTAAAAATTTAAAATATTTTATCGAAAAAAAGCTCACACTATTCACTTTTTGCCGGATGTTGCACCTCAATTTGTGTTTTTTTTTAACCGAGGGGCATGTTAATGTGTTTTTTTTAACGATAAAAAAAGGTCATGAATCAAACTCAAGCCCAATTGAATCAATAATTTCTCAACTGTTTGAAATTGAATCGATTTTGAATCCGCTCACAATTAGATCTCATTCCCTTCTTCCTCATCTCCTCCTCCTCTACCTCCTTCCCCTCCGCCTCCTCATCCACCTCCTTCTCCTCTTCTCCTCCTCCTCCTCCTCTTCTACCTTCTCCTTCATCTCCGCCTCCTCCCCTTCGCTACCTCATCCTCCTCCTTCGCCTCATCCCATTCTCCTACTCCTCCTCCATCTTCTCCTCATCCTCCACCTTCGCTTCCATTTCCTTTCCCTTCTGTACCTCCTATGCCTTCTCCTCCACAACGACCTCTACTCGATGATGAGTTCCCTTCTTCTACGGCAGCGGATTCCCTTCCTCGGCAGCGATAAGTTCCCTTCCTCAACGGCGGTGGGTTCCCTTCCTTGACGGTGCAAGTTCTCTTAGCAACGACGAGTTCCCGTCCTCAGCATTGCCGAACTCTCCTCCCGATTTCCTTGCTCGGTAGTGACTTCTTGTGAATATTGTTTGTATCATGTATCGTTATTGTGAAAATTGTCTGATATATCTTTGGTGTGTTCCTACGATGTGTATTGATATGTACGCATGTTTGTATCATTAATTGTATATTATTGTGATCTTATTAATGATATGCGTTATGTTTACTATGATGTGTATACGTGTTTGTATCGTATCTATTTGTATGTTATTGTTGTGAAGGTTGAATAATATATATTTGTTATGTGACTACTGTGATGTGTAATATGGATACGATTTTGTAATATGAATATATTTGTTATGTTACTCAGATAATTAATAGGATGTTTTATATTTTTAATAATTTTAGGGTGATTAAATATTAAAATTAAGGAGTTTTTGGAAAAGATGATACGATCCAATGTAACTTAGTTAAAAAAAAAAGAAGAATATAACTCGATCAATTTTCAGGAAACATATTTGAACTTTCATAAAACTACATAACATGTTCATAACATAATTAGTAGATTTTTTTATGAATTTAGTGTGATTAATTATGAAAATTAGAGATGTTTTTGGATAAGTACCATGATCCATTGTAACTCAATAAATTTTTATAAACCTATCTAAACTTTCATAGAAATAGTATGACATAATGGGATGACTAAATATCAAAATTAAAAATTTTTGAAAAGATATCGTGATCTAAGTGTAACTTAGTTCAAATACGAGTGTAACTCGATTAAGTTTTACAAAACATATCCTAACTTCCAGAGAACTAATAGGACAAGATTGTAAGATGATTAGTATTATTATTATTTTATTTTTTTTGAAGATTTTAAGATGATAAAATATTGAGATTGGAAAATTTCTTTTAAAGATACTGTAATCATCGAATGTAACATAGTTCAAAAACAAGTATAAGTCAATGAATTTTTACGAAACCTATTCAAACTTTTTCAAAACTAGTAGTACATGATTGTAAGATTATTAGTGATAATTTTTTTGTTTTTTTAAGGATTTTAAGCTGAGAAAATATCGAAATTGGAAAACTTTTCTAAAGATGCTGTGAGGAGTATAACTTAGTTCAAAAATAAGTGTAACTGAGTCAATTTATAGGTGTCCAAACTTCTATAGAACACCAGGACATATGGTTAGTAAGATTTTTTTTTTTGATGATTTTATGGTGACTAATTATCAAAAATAAAGATTTTTTTAATAGATATTATGATAGAGTGTAACTTAGTTCAAAACTAAGTGTAACTCAGTGAATTTTCACAAAACATATCGAAACTTCTAAAGAACTACTAGAACATATTGGTAAGATGATTAGCAGGATTATTTTTATTATTTTAATAATTTTAGAATGATTGAATATCAAAATTAGAGATTTCTTAGATATGTACTATGGTCGAGCCTAGTTCAGTATAACTCGATGAATTTTTATGAAACCCACCCAAGCTTTTACAAAACTATCACGACATATTTATAAGATAATTAATAAGTTTTTTTATTCTTTTATTATTTTAGGTTGACTAATTATCAAAATTAGAGATTTTTTGAATAACTTACATAAAAAAACTAGTGTAACTCAGTGAATTTCTATTAAATATATCCAAAGTTTTACAAAACTACTAGGATATGATTTTAAGATGATTAATATTATTTTTTATATTTTTTAGGATTTTAGAATAATTAATGAAATTTGATATGTTGTGGTAGGATTATAAGATCATATCAACTAAACTATAATTCTAACTCAACTAAAATCTACTTTTACAACTCAACTAAATTGTAAAAGTGATTGCACAATGGTGACTTTATTCTTAAAGTTAATAACAGTTTCTAATATTTTATAATGTTGTGGCACATTTCTCAAAAACTTCTATAGATATACTATAGACAATAAGACCATTTCCTGTAGCAAATGTAAATAATAAAAAAACTGAAGATAATTGATAATATTGAGTTATATAATCATTAAAAATTTGCATGAGTATCGATAGTGACGTATGACACCACGTATATCTTCAAATGATTTTGCCATTATCTCGATAGATTTGAAGTGTTTTCAGATATTCTATGTAAAACCACCCAATTCTCATTAAAAAACAAGTTTCATAAGACTAATATTTCAACATCTAACAAAGGAACAATGCATCAATTTAGTTAAAAAAACTCAAAGAACTCCTTAAACTTTGCCAAATGAATTAATGATAGGATTAGTCGATGTAGCCGAGGCTTCAACGATGCAATGGCAACATCTTCATCAAATAGTTTGACATAGTGATAACACCCACAAACTCTTTGGCAATGCAGCAGCAATGCCTTCCATGAACACTTTGTAAATACAATGATAAAGGATGCAACGATGTAGCCTTGCACATCGTGAATGCAACGAAGAATTTGCTAATGCAATTGAGGCTTAATCGATGTTGCTAAGACTTCAGCGATATAGTAGCAGCGACGTTTTCCTCCAACGTTTTGGCAACACAGTGATGATGCCCATGAATGCATTAGTGTCATAGCATAGGTGGAGGAGGAGGAATAAACATTGCTCACGAGGACCCAACCCAACCTTAATGGGAAGGTATTTTCTATTATCCGCATGTATATGGGACGGGGATAAGTAGAGCACTCCCCATCACATTATCATCCTCAGGCTCACCTCATCAATATATGAGCCTAGATGCTTGGTCCGCTCGATTCAAATCAAACTAGGTTTAGTTGAGTTGATTACGAGTCATTTGATTCGATTGAATCAAATGAAATAATATTAACATTCAATAGTAACATCCTCATCCTCTCGATCTATGTTCTTGAGAAATGAATTCAATATTCAATAGTTATTATTATTTATAGATTTTGATAGTATTAATTAATTTTAATAATATTTTTTAAATAAATAAATAAATTAGGAGAATATGAAGAATCCATAAGTTTTGCCTCGAACGGGGATTGCCTGTCCCCACCCCCAACTTATGAGGAATTGAGTGGAGATGGGATGGGTGTTAGGATCAAGAGAGGTACTAAGAGGGGGGGGGAGGTGTGAATTAGTGCAGCGAAAAATTTTCATGATTTTAGAAAATTGTTCTTTTCATTTAAAACCGATTCCGATGAAAATGGTTTCGATTCAATCTGTTTCGGAGAGAAGTTGAACTTGAAAGCTTTCATAAAAGTGTAAGAGAAGATTAAGGAGTTTTGCAGTAAAGTAAATTGCACAAATGAAAAGCAAACCGGACGAACTTTTCGGCGAGTCTTCCGGTGAGCTTCTAGCGAACTCCCGACCAACTCTCGTCTAGTCTTCCAGCATGCTTCCGGTAATCTTCCGATGAGCTTTCTGCGAGTCTTCCAATGTGCTTCCGGTGATCTCACGATGAACTCTCGGCGAGTTCCTAGTATATCATCCGAGTCTTCGACTCCAGCCCATCATCTGCTTTACGCCTTACTGCTATCATAGTTAATCTTACACACTTATCTCAACACATGGATTAGATCAAATAATTTATCAATTGATTTCATTATCAAAATCCTAGATTCAATAATCTTCCCATTTTTTATGATGACAACCAATTGGTAATGAAGTTAATCTTAACTCCCCCTATCTATATGCTATAATTGAGAAAAGATACTATTGAATTCAATGCCTTTGAATTCAAGCATTAAATTGATAATTTAGACTTATTATAATCATGCACATCATGATTTACCAAATCTAAAGATATACCACGTATTCGTCGATAGAAATGATGTCAAGACATGACATCCATTTTCGAGTCAAAATCACAGATATTTTCAGCATCAAAGTAAGCATGATATTGACAGAAATTTTCAGCATCAAGGTAAGCATGATATTGATAGAAATTTTCAACATCAAGGTAAGCATGATATCAT